ATTTTTTGGATCGCCCTTCCAGAAGCGAAATGTTTATGTGTCGACTGCGACAACTGCCAGCCGCCACTGATGCTACTAGGAGATGAAAAGATGATCAATGTTGAAAAATATGCCTTGTGACCCCTAACTGGACATACTTGTGATTCTGATGCCCCAACGATTTTATTGATAAGAAGTGATCTGCAGTAATAAACTACAACAAAAAAAATGAACTCTGGACTTTTCCTTGTGTTTTTCTTTAAATTATTGCAGCTAAGCCAAATTGTGTGACGTCTCCCACCTGCAACAGGTATGTGAAAAATCATTACAAAGACATCTTGATTTCTAGTGTGTTTTCTTCTATGTTTTTTTATTTTTAAGGGTTATTGCTCACTATTTTTTAGTTTCGGCCATCCTTTAAATTATAACATTCCAATATCGAGCAAATAAGTTTATAACATATATTATATAAAACGCTAATACGTTTTAATTGATAGGAACATTGGTACCAAGATACATACTATAGGTACTTGGAAAATAGGTTTTAATGGCTCCCTGGAGGGAATAAATACCAGAGAAAGTTGTTGATTATTGTAATGTTTGACTTTCAGGCGTTGACCTCGAGCAGTAGCCTTATACCAAATGATACTAAATATAATTAATCTTTATTTTGATGGGATTAACTTCTAAAAACATGTTTTGTCTCATTTGTTAACATAAAGCCACATGGAAGGGCAACAAATAATTATAGAAAAAAATGGAACTGTTTTAGTTTAATTGTATTGGTATATGTCTTTCGGCATATGTCTTTATTCGGCAAATGTCTTTCGGCATATGTCTTTCTGCATATGTCTTTATTCGGCATTTGTCTGGTATATATCTTTCGGCATATGTCTTTATTCGGCATATGTCTGGTATATATCTTTCGGCATATATCTTTATTCGGCATATGTCTGGTATATGTCTTTCGGCATATGTCTGGTATATGTCTTTTGTAGTGTTGTTTAATACTAACTTATTGATTATTTACTTCTTTTTTTTTTATCTTGTACGAAGAACGGGTATTCAGCTAGTATAATATAATTTTAACAATATTTAGTAATAACTCTTACAATTACAACTTTTCGACAGAAAACAAATTTATATAGCTTTTGAGATTATAAAAAAAAAAATTTTGTCATCCAATTTCCCTTCATCATGTGTCATCCACGTGTCTCAGTAATAGCGTTAATTTTATTATTAATACTATAACTATACCCAAATATTGAGCTACGCGAAAATAGCCCCCTAAAATGAGAAAAATCTAAAACTCAAACTGCATTCGTTTGACCACCTTTTAATTTTTTTTGACTACCCTTATTTTGGACATAATCCCAAAAATGAAATTCGGGGGCTAACTTCGCATTACGCCAAATAAATAAAAATCCAATTTTTATATTGTATATTTTTTGTAAAAATGCGAGTTAGCCCCCGAATTTGATTTTTAGGATTATGTCCAAAATAAGGGTGGTCAAAAAAATTTAAAGGGTGGTCATTTGTGGTCAAAAAATGGTCAAACGAATGCAGTTTGAATTTTTGATTTTCCTCATTTTCGGGGGCTGTCTTCGCATAGCTCAAATATTGAGGTAGGTATTGCAAAAGTACTGAGTAAAGTACTGCAAAAGTATTGATTGCAAAAATAAGTCTCGTTTTACTCAGATGCTCTCAAATGTCATTAGCATGCCCTCCTTGCCATTCAAATGCATGTTAAAGACATAAATATAAAAATAAAGTACTGATAGGTGTAATTTTACTTTTTGAGTATTTCGCCATACCTCGAGAACTTTTTAAGCTAGTTGAAAATTTTTGGACATAACTAACCAAAGATAATTCCAAGCAAAAAATAACTTTAAGTAGATTTTTAGGATTTTTTATTTATTATTTTATTTAATAGTATGCCTTAAGTTACAAAAATACGCCCTTTTTTAAAATTCGATTTCTCGGGAACTATTCGACCGATTTCACTCAAATTTTGTATTTTGCAATTGTAAATCTATATTATTTAACATGATATAAAAAATTGCATGCTTTGCAATTCAAAATTTATTCGACTAATATTTAATAAAATAATAAAAATCATAAAAATTTACTAAGGTTTTTTTTTTGCATGATATTATGCTTGGATAAACGAATTTTATAATAGTGTGCAAAAAAAATTTCAATAAAAAGTTCTCGAGATATGTCGAAATACACAAAAAGTAAAATTAACATTAAGGGGGCAAAACTTTAAACAGCTCTTCTGATCAAACTATGGGAACCATATTTCCCAAATTGCGGCCACCCCCAATATTTTGGGTGTCAGAAATCTGAATCTAATAAAAACGGGTATGTTTATTCAGGGAAAGTACGTTTTTGTGTCTGATTCCGTAACTTAAAATATCGTCTGCACTGATTAATTTCCTTATTTGAGGTCACCCCCTCGAACCATTAAGACTGTCCTAGAAGGTGAAGATCCGTTCATTAGAATCAAAATTTATTCAGATTGGTCCTTTTTTATTTTGCGCACTGTACATACATATTTTTTTATTGAAAGAAATTAAATATTTATTAACACGATTATTTTACCGATATACCATATTGTTTTAACTGGGAGTCTTCACTTTTTTTGCGCCCAAGGGTCACAGCCATGAATTCATGTGGACCACACATGTTCTTGATAATATAGGTAAAGAACTTTAGAAGCAGAAGAAAGGTCACAGTTAAATTAAGTGTAAAATATTGTATTTTATATTTAATAAAAGTCATTTTGATGAATAAATAAATACCCACTTGTTTTTAAATACAAACTATTAATAGAAACTGCGCGTTGAAAAAATGGTGGAACTTACCATCGCTAGACATATGAAGGACAGCAGATATTGACCTGGAAAAAAGTTATTAAAGTTTTTAACATAGAATATTTAATATTTTTAATCATTGACATAAATAACAAAATAAATACGTAAATTAAATCAAAATAACTCTTTTTCACGATTTTTTTGTTTTAAATTATAAATGTTTCTCAGGCAGCTTTTTTTTTTCTTTTTTTTAAGTAGTACCTATTAAAAAGATTCATTCACTTCATTTTTCATTTCAAAAGTATTGCTATTTTCCAAAAATAGGAGAAAAACGCTTTTGATCAATATTTTTACATCAAAATTGCTGTTCTCAAAAAAAAGGTACGAAAAAAAAATTCACGTCTCAAACGAACCGAAATTTTATGTTGTGTTTTCCATTATATCATTTTCGCTTTCTAAATATAGATTTTTTTTTTTTTGCCACATTTCATCATGTACAACATTTCGAAAACTAATTAAATTCTCTCTATTAAACTGCGTCTATTCAACATATGCAACTTAAATATAAGAAACAAAAAATGATAACTATCGTGGCAAATGATAAGCGAATGCAGCAGGACGCGAATCCCTAATAATATAATAATAATAAATAATAATAAAATAAATGCACAATAATTTTTGACAAAGGAAATTTCAAAATACGGTTTTCTTGAAATTTTGTAACTCTATAATTATTTGACAAATTTTGTTTAAATTTTGAAATTTTTAATCGAAATTATAGAATAAAATGATTATTTTATTTAACTCCTTAACAATCGATTAATTTTCAAGTAAACGGACATAAAAGTGACTATTTTTTTTATACACGTATATTATACACGTATTTGATTAGTGCTGACATCTAGTTTAAAATAAACTAACTATCTACAATTACCTTAAAAATATCCTGGTACTGCCATCTGATGTGTAAAATGAGAAATAAAATGTTTTCTAGCCAAAAGAAATGAATTAGTTTTATTCTTATTGGCGCATAAGACCGGGAATATCACGGGAGCTAGAAATAGAGGGCGAAACCTCACCCCGTCATTTTCACAGGATCGAGAAGGAAGGGGTTAGAATAATTGTTAAAATCTGCATGTCTTACAATTCAAACAATTTTCGATCATTATTTAATAAAATAATAGTAATAATTCAAAACTAAAACTTATTTTTCCCCTTAAATTATCTTTCGTCAAACGAATTTCATAACTGTGTTCAAAAGTCTTTCTACTCTCTTAAAACATTTCTGGAATATGGTGAAACTCCAAAAAATGGGAATTAGCATTAAGGGACCCAAACCATGTGACCATATTTACCAGATTGCGGCTACCTCCCGGCCCTCTTATTTTGATACTCTATAAAAAAATAAAAATAAAAAAAGGCGTGTTTAATCAAAGAAAATGCGTTTTTGTGCCTGATTCCATAGTGAGCACTAATTAAATGACATGCAATCCTTTGAACAATTAAGATTGGCACATAGTACGCTAAAATCGATCATTAGAATAAAAGTTATTCAGGGAAAAATCTTTTGTTCACTGTACTTTTAATATTAATTTGGAAGAGAATTTCCAACCTTGTCATTCTCTTTAATTTTTCGTCAGAGTTTTTTATAAGATTTCTTTATACGAAATCTATACGCAGAAGCTACTGAGCTTAATAAGTTTCTAAGATGTATTTTTCCTTAAGTGCGCAAAACAACTTTTAAAGACATTTTGAAATGAAGTATTTCTGAATAGTATAAATTGCAAATTATTTTAATCAAGTACAAAATGAATTTGCAATGTGTATAATATTTTAACTAAATTATACAAAAGCTGAAATAATATTGAAAAAAATTGTAGTCTGATATTTTCTTTGATATTTTGTAATAATATCAGATGATTGCAAATCGGAATAATTTTTTTCCATGTTTATATAGAATTAAAAAATAAATTAAGAGGAACTATTGCTAACAAATAATTATGGACTCAGCAAATAATATTGGACAATGCTAAAATTCAAGTAAAATGTCCCCATTCAGTAAAGCAAAAATGCATTATTTATCAACACATTTCACAACCTGAGAATAAAAGAAGGAATTTTTCATATTTATTTGACCTCGTCGATTCAGATTTTCATGCATTCTGTTCTCGAAAAATGGTTTGAAAATAAAAGGAAAAAAGACTCCATCTATGAAAAAAGTAAATACCGTTCTCACAACTTCGAAGAAAAAATAACATAATTTCTATACGCAAAAATAGAATTCAAAAATGAATAAAAAGTTTAAAAGATGATATGATATAATATTGAGAATAAGGGTAAGGAGACGAAATAAAAAATATATAAAAATGCATATCTGATAAAATAAACACTTTTCGCTGTCTTAAAAATGTGTTGTATTTCATTTCATTTCAAATCAGACACCAACTTTTATTAATCGTCTGATGAAATAATATAAAATTATTTGTGTAAAAATAATTACACTGCTTCATTGAAAATGCTTATCTTTGGTTTTTGATTATGCAAAAACTTTTGATTTGTTTGATTTGTGCAAAAATTTGATTTTTGCAGAAAGCAATTAATACAAATATTCATAGTGAACAAATATACATACATACTAGTACAAATTCCCTTTTAGAAAAACTGTTAAAAAGGGATGTTAAATATATGTACTAAAAAAGTGGTAAATAAAAAATATGTAATGTTCATTAAAGATCAACGGTTTTGATTTGTCTGTTAAAACAATTCAGGAGAATTCTGTTTATTTTAAAAAAGATAATCGAATGCTATCCGAACTTAATTTATTAACAATAATACAAATTGCGATATGTATATTTAATTCTACAATAAAATATACATTTGATATTATAACTTTATATGAAATTTTATTTTATTTATTTGTATGCTCTAAATTGTAAAAGCAGGTAGTTTTTACACAGAATATAAAAATTTACTTTAACTATTGATGCCATCACTTCACTTGATGCACGAGTTTTTCTTACGATATTTTTACTTAGCTTTAATTTAATCTGGACCTGTAGTGTTGAAAAAAGTTTCAAATTACGCTAAATTAAAATTTAAATTTGTACAAAGTAAATTGTACATTTTTAAACTATATCTGAGTATCTCCTCGTATTCTTTTCGTTAATTCTAGTCAGTTTTTTTTTTCTTTTCTTTTTTTCTCCCCGAATTTTTCCAACAATTCATAAAAATTTAAACAAATCTTATCGCACAAACATGGTAATTTTATTAATTTAATTATATTTATTTTTATTTATTTATTTTTGTTTATTTATTTTGTATTATCTAATTTCCGTGAACAATTCATACAATTAATTGAAAGCACAAATCAACTATCATCATTATACTACATGTCTTGGTTACATGCAGAATATTCCATAAAAAGAAAGAAATTATTATTTAGAAATTATTATATCGAAGAAATTATTATAAAGAAATATTCATGCAAATTCAGTAAACAGAAAGAATATAAATTTGTTTCATTAAATATATATATATTATTAATTACCGATTAAAACCAAGTTTTCCTGTTTCCTTTTTTTTTTACTAATTAAGCAAGTGAATAAAGTAGACTTTGAAATAAGTATTTTAAAAAAATAATTAATAAACAATATAAAACGATTCTCGTCAGTTTTAGAATCAAGAAAATGCATTTTTTTAAGTAAAAATTAAATTTCTGTATACTTTAAGAGATAATTTCATGTAAACAATAGTTAAAATTTATAGAGGAAATAAAATACATAATTTATGGAAATACAAAATATAGATAAAAGGCTGCTATTAAACCCCTCTTATTCCAATATTAAATATTTACTTGTTTGAAAATTCCGATAAAACTACCAAAATTTTCTACCCATTGTTCTACAAAAAGAAAGAGTTATGCTCTGTCCGAAAGAAACTACTAAAAGAAATTATTATTAGTATAACTAATTTGGTGGGAGTAATGAACTAAGATTAAAATACACATATGTTAGATATTTAGAAAAAGTAAATAGAAATTAAAAATGCGATATATTATTTTTTTTCCAACAAATTTTAAAAATTATTGCTGTAACTCCCATTTCCAGAATAAAATCGAATTATTTAGCAAAATAACTAACAAACAAAAAGAGAGTATATTAATTAAATAAATTTTAGTTTCCAGCTAAGCTAGCTAACAGAAAATAAATGTGAAAGCAGCAATAAGATTGATTAAAATAAGTTCTTTATTGTTTTCACTATCAACTAAGAACAACAAATATACCTTCAGGTCATAGAATAAAAGGCGGTTGAAAATTTAGTATAATATTCAAACGATTTCTGAAAAATATCTCATTAATGGTACAAATAAATTATATTCTTATCAAAAATGTTACATACCCATCGTGGTAGCTATTCTTTGATCACCTTTGATAAGTTTTTTAATAAAAAAACAATCTTATCCAAAGAAATGAAAAGTTCAGGAATCACTAAAGTCACTGACAGTTTAGGAAGTGTTCTTTCTACTCTTAGCCTTGGGTGACGTGTCCTTCGAAAGTGGAACCAGGTAAACCGGTTTTCGCTCTCGCAAACGATATAAGAGTCATTAAATTATTTTTTAAAAAAAGGTATCGTTTGAACTAAAGGCATCAAAGTGTTCCCGCATTCATTCCGACTCTCCCCACACCTTTACCCACTCAAAGTTTCTTACGAAAGAAACGTGGGCGTACATAGACGCCATTGTAATTCTGGTTTAAATCTTTGATTTAATTTAAAAAATTTCTTATTCATAGTATAATTGAAAATATATTTTCCTCGCAAATTGAGAGCAATAGGGGAATTTAATAAATCAAAGTTCATATTTTTCCAAAGTTTAAATCGAAATAAATATTTATTGCTAAAGTCATTCTTAAATTTTTATAAATTTGATTAAAAAATAATTATAATAATTGATAAAATTATAATAATAGATAAAATTCAAAAAAATGCCTGTGTTTATATCCACCCTTATTTTATGAAAGAGTGCAAATGCAAATTATATTTCCAGACACAATTTCAATTTGCATTCAGATTTTCTGTAATAACCATCTTTTGAACTTTGCTCAACTTTGAAATAATTTTCTTCAAATAAATTAATACACAATAATATAAAATTTTATGCTGAATATATGAGTTGTTTACAAAACTTTTATGAGAGCAAATTATTTTATAAAAAAAACTTTATTTTAATAATATTTTTAATACAATTTTTGAATGAAATAAGTTTTAATTTTTAGAAACTTGTTAGGCTGAATTATATACCACTTGTGCAAAATTTTAAGGCTAATTATATGTTTCCTTACCAAAGCATTTACTTAAGCATTAAAGCATTAAATTTAATTCTAAAATATGTTGCAAGGACTACAATATATCAATACATCAAGCAATGGTGTGTATATTCTTTTATACATAAACTTTCATATGATATAAATGGTCTAGGATATGAAGAAATAAAGTTTTAATTAATTCTAATAACGAATCGTACTTATTTTAATATTCTTTGAAATTCTATCCAATAAACATTTTGAAAAAAGAAAACGTTTTCAAATAATACTTAAATAAAAGTTAGAAAATATTTTTAATAATTTTTAGATAATAAATAATAATAATCTTAATTTTCTAAGAATAATTTAATAAGAACAAATAGTGCCCTTTTGTTTTCAAGACTCAATTATCTCAATCTTTGAATGAAAACTACGTATTCATTCAAAGAACATACTGTTTTAATACATTACATTTTTCAGTTATCCCATTTCATTGACTTAAAATACTAAAAATAACGTCTGCATTAATTAACAAGCATTTTTAAAATTAATTAGAATTACCTGTTAAACTCTTCAGATTAAAGCTTAGCGCAAAGAATCATTAGATAAAAAAATTATTCAGTATGTGCTATTTTTTATAATGCGCAGTGTACAAATATTCACTTTATTTCATTCGTCTATGGATTATAATCCTTATATTATAGTTTTTATTATCAGGGTCCGTAGCCAAATCTTTCAACGAAAAATAAGCACCTTTTAAGTACTTTTCAAGCACTCAAAAAATATTTTTAAGCACTATATACATTAACAAAATGCACTACACTGGTGTGCAAAACTTAAGCAACAAGTGGTTTTTCGGCCACAGCTCCCCAACAAAGTATAAGATAGCCATGAAATTGCAGTATAGTATGCACGTAATTCAGTAGAAAGATTATTTGTATGCAAATTTTAGAAATAAAATGTCGTAGATGATATAAGTGTACGTAAACCTTGTGGGTCGGCGCGCGCAGGTCAAAGCTAAAATAAAAGGATGAAGAGCACCGTAGTTAAAGACATTCGCTGCAAGTGCAAGTGATTTGTTTTGTGAAACATGTCTTCAAGAAATCATTTAGACGACTTTACTCGAGGAAGAATGATTGGGAAGCTTGAGGAGGGGCGTAGTGTGA